CATACATTGGAACGGCAGCTGTGAAGGCAAGTTTTAACATCTGAATCCTCTTCAGCAAGCAGCGTGTTGTAGTACTGACTTGTAAAAACCTTCAATTTACAGAAACTCCCAGTTAAAGTTTTGATATGCAGGGATATGTGTACACACAAGACACTAACACACACTTGCAAACTCCTGTAAATTACTGTTGGAAAAACTGCTGGGTCTTAGCTTGTGATTTAACTAAGGAGCCCATTGCTACAGGCTGCCACTGAAACATGCTGCTTAGGAAAGCTTTTGGAGAAGCTTTACATTTCTGAAAAGCATTGGAATTGTTTCTCAATACTGAAATTAACCTGAATTAGAAAATTAAATGCAGCAATAATAGAAATAAAATTGCTTGGACCATTACCTCTTGTCCTTTGATGTTAAAGATGATTCCACGTTGGGCTGAGAAAAGAATCTCTTTTTCAGCTCTGCTGATAAAACGTCTGTTACCAGATAAGGGTGATTTGGCTGTCTTTTGAAACCTCCCTTGCTGCCAGTTACAGGGATATCCTCCTCGATGGGCTGTTTTTCTGCTCTGCTATGAGCAGCCTTATTCCTCAGATTTTGCCAAACCCCAAACAATAGGACAAGTGTTAGGCATCACAGTTCACCCCCTCTCCTAAGCTGGATAGGCAGCAATGACAGAAACCAAATGAAAGTCAGGCTAGAAACAGGAAACATCTGCTCCTATTTGTCTCACCCCCACTAAGACTTATCTTATTGCCCAACGCAGTGGATGTGCTGTGAATGAAAATCATATTGGAACAATAGCTCTGAGGGGATGCTTCACTTCATAACTCCCCTGGGATGTGCCTGTAAACTGTATCGTCCGAAACTCTGGGAACGTTTAATTACTAGTAAATGCTTTTCACTGTAGTCTTTGTTTCATTCCGAATTTGCTGTGGGAGGGGGTGTAAGGGAGCTAGGAGGACAGCTTTTGCAGTGACAAAAACTGCTTCAGCACAGTGGGTACGACAAGATCGAGGAAGGTTTGTTGCTTGCTCCTTCTCCTTTGCAGTATCGTGTGTTCATTCACGTGAATCTTCCAAATCTTTCTGTTGCTTTACGCCCTGGTGCTTGGGCATCAAGAGAAGCTCAGCACATTGATTCTAAGAAGTTTACTTTAAAAGGGTGGCTATGAAAGTGTAGCGGTCACTTGAATTTTAGCCTTTCTTTTGGGGCTGATATATTTTGGCAATATAACTGAGTTGTAGCATCTTCCTTACACAAAGTTGTGAAGCTGCTGTGATTTCTTGCTTTTTTTCTCAGTAAAGCAAGAAATCCACATTTTGCCCAGCATCTTAAAAGACATGGAGGATTTCAAATGGTTGGTGGATTATTTTCAGGTGGGGACAGCCTAACCAGCCCTCCTAAACCGGTCTATGGTCTCCAGTCAGTAAAAGGCACCAGGTCCTTGTGTCTGCATCCCGGAGTATCTGAGTGGGTTCCCCTTCCTCAAAATGCCAAGTGACCTGTATCAGTCATGTTTTGCCTTTTAGCACTTTACTTTCATAGCCCTGTCTCACTTACGTGGTAATTTTTCTCTGTGCCATAGAGAAAAATGGGTGGTTGACTGGTTTTAAAATAAATAAATAAATAAAATAAAACGGCCTGCTTCCCCACTACATTTATATTTGTTTTGTTTTTGTTGGTTCAAAACCTGTAAAGGTAAGATGTATCTGTATGACTGATTTGGAATGGTTTTGTTGTCAGTCGTTAAATAAAGACCATTGTTAACTTTTCATTGTATATATGTTATCAAAAGAGTTTAACATTTGGGATATTAAAAGGTAAATCCAAGGAGCATTTGTTGTATTTCACTTTCTGAGCCGCGCTGGTATACATCAGGAAAGACGACTGCATTTACAAGGAGAAATTGCAATGACAGGACTGTTTTGCTACATAAATCTCTGTTAAAGCTCGAATATCCACAATGTACTTCAGCAAGACCTGTCAATATTTTGTCTTGCCTACTTGTTCTTCCCTACGCTGAGAGCTCCATAACGAGTGTCTGGCTCCCTGTGTACTTACCACAGGTAGGGAGAGCATCTTGGCATCAGGAAAGATTTCAAAAGGGTTAATTTGTACTGCAGAGATCTCCTGTCCATCCCTTTCATGTGGAAGCTACTGCCACAACTCTACAGCACAAAAAAGAAACTGAAACTGACAGTGCTGATGAGAAAGTGGATTTTAAATGCCTTACTGAGAGAGAAGACAGAGCAAGTATGATTATTTTCATCACTCTTAAAGAGTTGCAAGTTTAATTTTTGCTAAGACTGCTGCGAAGTATGTTTATAAACTAATATATAGCTCCAAATGTGCTGTACAGGGAGTTCTTGCAATCATGGAGAGTTTCTTCCACATACTTAAAGCAAAAAAAATATTTTGCAAAGTCATCTTAGATGACTACTATAAACTGAGCCGGTCCACTTGCTAACTTCAGGCTGTTCTGGAATAGTTGAGCAGAATAAAAACTAGAGAAATGTTCCTACCTATATTGACTTAAAAAAAATTTTTAGGACCCAAAACTTTTGTTCCTGTCAAAACCAACCAGAAACATTGAACACAGAGTTTGGATCTTTCTGTAGCACCTGAAAGGTATCCAATTAGCAGGTAGGCGCTTCCACCCTCCTGAAAAAAAAATAAATATATATATTTATGTTTATATATATATATAGAGAGAGAGAGCATTTGTTCAGCAGAACAATCATCTGGAACGCTTTTGCTTTGCTGTTGAGTTGTGGATCTGTTGGTTGTGTGTTGTGCTGTGTGATCAAATATATGTAGGATAGCCTAACTTCTTTTTCTGATGCTTGCCACTGCTGTGCCTGAGCAGAGCAACAAACTGAGCACCCCAGTCGTCCTGCTTGGATAAACCAGCATCGACCTGTTGCTGCAGATGAGTAAATGGAGAGGAGCTGTGTGGGTGAAAAGAGGGTTGAACAGCAGCATCCTAAGCCCATGTTTTAGCAGAACAGCCACGCTTTGGAGTCTTGGGTAGCTCAGTACCAAGGCAGAGGACTGCTGGCCTTGACTTTCAGTGCTGGCGTGCTGCAGCCTGTCCTGGCTTGAAGCCATTTAGAGACATTCCTGGTGCACTCTGTGTAATTTCAGCCTGATGGAAATGGCTGTAATGCAGTCCCACCTCTGCTGATCTTCAGGATTGCCCTGTCTGCAGCTTCTTGTGGTCGCTTTGAAAGCGAGTTATGTTTCCCATTAAAGGATAACAGCGACAATTGATGCAATTAAGTGGAGTGGCATGGAGCTCGCAGCACGCAGGGAGTTTTCCGACTGAAAGCAGGCAGCACGGCTCAAAGGTATTCCCTGCAAGGTTGCCTGTTTGCTGTCTTCATTTGTCTGGAAAAGGATCCAGCAATTCTTCTTCAGATTTCCTTTCCTCATGCTAAACGCCTGCTTACTCGCATCAGTAGGAAATGTTCCTGTCCCGCCGAGAGCGACAGCTCTGCAATAGCTGGGAGCCAAGAGCAATGCGACTTGGCCGTGGTCTCGTGAGGTCTCTGAACTGGGATCAGGGCTCGGGGCTAGGTTGTGTGAGAGGGGATGGAGAGGATGAGGTGGGTGGGGGCAGGATGAAGGTCATATAAGGAGAAATAACGAAAAGTGGGCCTGATTGTGAAGTGGGAAGAGAGGGCCAAGTCCCAGCTGCCTGCTAGGCACAGGCAGTGCTGGGTGCCTCTGGCCGAGGGCCGGTGGGGAACAATCCCCCATTTGCCACACTTCATACAAAGGCGGGCGGGGGAGAAGGCTGGGAGCAGAAAGCGCTGTAAAATGAGATCCAGGAATTCGGCAGGGCCGCGGCAAAAGGAGCAGATCGCTAACTCGGAGCATCTGTCCCTGCCCCGCGAGTAAGTTACGAACTGAAAAGCAGGAGAAAGTGGAAGATCCTTTCACAAATAATAAACACTTGTTTGTCTCAGATTAAATGCAACACCTTTCCATGTGGCCTCCATCTGGCCCTAAGCAGATGCACCTTGCGTGGCTGTTACCTTCCTTGCCAGCGAGAAGATTACTGTACATCCATCTGCTTAAAGGTTAATAACCCGCCTTTAAAAAGAGGAAGAAAAAAAAGGCAAATCTGTTTAGTTTACAGGAGGGAAAAATTGTTTTTCATTAAAACTGCCTGAACTTTGCCCTGCCTGCAGGTCGCCTTTGCCAGCGGAGAAGGAAGATGTTAAGCTAGGTGCTGTAGGCACATCTCCCGGTGAGAAACGTTTCCGTCTGCTCTAAACAACTCCTGTAATACTGATGGGAAAGCGTAGCTGTGACAGAAGTGGCACGTTTCTCATCTGGGTCCTGCCGCTCGCTGGAGTTTAGAGAGAGGCTGTTCAGCTCTTTGGCGATGCTCGGGCCAGGAGCGATTTCTGATGTAAACCCATCCCACCGGGATGTTACCGACGCTGGCTTCAGGCTCTCAATAGGCAGAGCTTCGCCAACATCTGGAGAATCTGGCTCCGAGTGCTTGGGGAGGGAAGGAATTTTTCTTCTGCAAGTGAGAGGGATGGATAAGCTCGCAACAGCACCTGCATTCTCCTTTTCCCTGCGAGATGGAAAACAGCCACGCCGCAGCTGAAGCGAGCTGGTGCTGCCGGCCAAGCCACGGGAAGGTGAGGGACACGGGGAGGGAAAGGACGTGCACGGGGAGCCCTGGGGTTCAGCCAAGCCCTCGCCTCGGCGCTGGGGGAAGCAAAACCCAAAGGGCTCAGCCCCACGGCCCCGCGTGTCCCCGTGCTGGCTGCGGGGCTGCTGGCCGGCTCTGTAGGGGCAGAGGCAGCGGGCCCGTGAGCTGCCACCTGTTGTTAATCTACCCCCGGCTAATCCATTCTGCACTGTGTCAGCAGTTCAAAAGGGCACTGTTAGTATTTTTTGCCAACTTCAATTAACGTGAGATTTTGGAGGCCCCTCTGATCGCATTTCATCTGTCATGAGTCAGGAACAAAACAGACAGATCCCAGTTGAGAGCGGAGAAGAGAAGGAGTTTATTGCAAAGCAAAACAACAACAACAGTGTTTGTATCTCCTCAGCCAGGGGGCCTCAGAAGCGGGGGCTTTCCCAGCAATTTCACTCCTTTTTAAAAAAAAAAAAGGAAAAAATAAAAATTGGTGCCCAGAAATTCCAGCCCTCACCCCCCCCCAAAAAAAAAGCTGCTGCAAGTGCAATAACTTACTTTGAAAAAACATGGAAAGGACCAAGCTGCAAGGCTGTTTCTTCTTTTTTTTTTTAATATTCCACTGTAATTAACTGGTGATACATGGCTGCATAGGCATTAACATCGCATGGCACAAACCTCACAATGGCAACAGTTTTAATGATTTTTTTTTATTCTTTTTTTTCCTGAACTTTTTCAACCTTTTTTATTTTTTTAATATGTTCTACCCCAGGCCTTTAAGCTAAAGAAAAAAAAAAAAAAGTTTGCGTTTATACAAGGTTACAATATTTTACAACGAAAAACAATAATATTGATTGAGGTTTGTTTTCTTCCTTTCTCCCAGTCTCTCTTTCAAACACTGCACACCTAAACCGATATATTATTACACATTGAAAACTGTCCTTCAAAATCAGTAGTACAAAAGTCCTAGCTCTACCTACCTACCTAGCTATGTGGGGGAGCGGGGCGTCGCGTTACCAGCAAGGAGCGAGCAGGGAGCCAGGCTGCGCCCTGCCTCCTCCCAGGACCCTTCCCCAAGCCGAAAAGGGCTGGGGACGACTTCCAGCTCGATTCGGCCCCCGTTCCCATTTGGGTTTAATTTCTAATTTGGTCTGTTTGCTTTTTGCTGTGTCAGTCAGAGCAGCAAAATAAACACGGGGCTCTGCATCTGCCTGATTATTTTTCAAACCCTTTTTTTTTTCCTTTTTTTTTTTTTTTTTTTTCCAGGAAACTACCTTTTTGGCTTTGTTTGTTTGGAGAGTGTTTTACGACCCGCTGCCGAGCCTGGGTGTGCTCTGTGGAGCAGGGAAACCGGCCTCCCCTCCCCAAAATACCCTCACCACCGGAGGAACCCCTCGCCTCCCCGCGTGCAGGGGACACTACGTGTCCAGCAGCTCTGCCATGTCGCAAGTGCTGGTGGCCTTGCCACGCTACCTGTGCCTTGGGCCAGATGTGCCCCAGTACAGATGGGAGCAGCACTGGGCCGTGCTGGTGGTGGGAAATGTCCCCGGGGGGACAGCCCGGCCGCTGCCTTGCCCCACTGCTCTTGGACTCGTGGTGACAGCAGCCCTCGGAGCCGGGGCACTGCGGCACCCAGCACCCTGCCTGGGTAGCAGGAGGTGTTTGGGGAAGAAAAGGGCTTTGTAGGGATGGGCATGGGGGTAGAGGGAGCTATGGCAAACTAAATGATGCTCTGGGCGCTTGGCAGCTGGTGCTCTCCCCGCTTGCCTACTCCTCGTCTCCAACCTCTGGGACATCCCTCGCATTTCTAAACCCAGGCAGCCCCCTCGCAGGGAGCCTGCTGCATGGTTGGGCCGCTCAGAAGAGTGCTTTGCTACCTCTGTAAGGCTGGAGAGGGTGCCCAGACAGGAGCCTGGCCCGGGCTGCAGGCACTGCACCCGCAGAGGATGCCCCCACGGGGCGGCCAGGGGCTCGTGGGGCGTTTTGGTGGTGGCTGGGGACGAAGCTCGCAGCTTCCAAGGCATTTAAATCCAAGCCAGGGGACTGTGGCTCTGTGAGTGGACAGGAGTAAAATACTAAATAAGAAATAAATAGAGAAGAAAGTCATAAATAGAGTCGAAAGGTATTAAAATAATAATAATAAAAAAGGCATCATCGTGGTAGCTCGGAGATTGCAAGAACAGCACTGACCCTGTGACCCTTAGGAAATGCAGTAGCCGCAGGCTGGCTAGGTTAAGATACACACACATATATATATATATAAGTATATATATATATATTTATACAGCTTTTCTTGTTAATTTAACAGCTATATTAAAAAAAAAAAAAAAAAAACTTTTAAATTAATTAAAAAATGCATGTAAATACAGATGCACGCAGCTCAAAAACTGCTGCCCGAGGCTTTTGCTGCTCGAGCCACCCGGGCTGACCCGTGGGCACAGGGGGGCTGTGCTGGCACGCTGGGCAGCGGTGCTCCCTGCTCCTGGAGCACCCCGCCAAGCTCAGGGCTGGGCACGCGTGGCAGTGCTCAGGATAGATGGAAGACAACGTGTTTTTTAAGGTAAGAAAGCAGGGGTTCTGTTAAGGCTGGCAGCGCTGCCAGGAGGCTGCCCTCTCCAAGGAGTCAGGGGATGCAGCACTCTGTCCCGTGAGCTGCTACGGGTGATCCCATGCGATCAGCATCATCTTTAGCACCTGAAACACTTTTTTAGCCCGATTACTTAGCTGACTGTTTAGGCTGGGACATAAGTCTTGTTTGCTTCGGATGGGAAAAGCCCAGGTCATAGGCGTAGTCTGCTTAACTTCGTGGTGGTTCCTGGTGAGCACCAAGCCAGGCATCTCTTAGCATTTTTAGAGAGAAAAGAAACAGCACTGCCGATCTTTTTGTATTCCAATAAATATGTGTTACATTTGATCTAGCACTGATGCATCATTTATGTGGGGTACAACAATGCCTAGGCACTGTAGAAATATTTTTATATAGTATGCAGTTAACCTGAGCCCTGACATTTGGTTGTAGCCTATTTGGAGCCTTTTCCGGGACCACTGAGTATCCCTGGACACAGCGCCACGGGATCTCCCAGTACCGAGCACAGGGAGGGAGGACAAGGGGACAAATGGGAGCAAAACCCTACAGTTCCCTCGCTGATTAAGCTCAAGCTCGGTGTGCACAGCCGTGTGGTGTGGGTGCTGGTGTCTGGGTGACATTCAGCAAGGCAAATAATTCCTGGCACTGCGAGACCACCGGGCAGCTGGGGAACAATTTAGCCTTGCAAAGGAGACCTTGCTTAACTGCTGGGAGCACTCGGGGAGAAAACCGAGGGCGGGATAACGGGAGGGATGGTGGCTGGGACAAACCAGGCGAGCTGCGGTGTCTCCCCGCGGGCTGGTGCTGGGTCCCTGGGTGTGGGAGTGATGGGACGGGTGGCTGTCACACGTGGCTGACCCCAGGACTGGGTGGACGAGGATTTCGATGCCCTCACTGCCCTGTGTACTGCTGCTTGAGCTGTTCCTCAGCGGGGTCTCTGGGGACCTGATTCCTGACCCAGTAAAAGCCAGGGGAAAGGTTTTGCTGCCCCTCCTTGCACCACAACGGCCACGACCATCACAGAGCAAACCCCAGGTGCCCGTGGGGGTGTCACCTTCTGCAGGGCTGCCGGCGGTGCCAGGCAGCTGTCACCTCCTGGGCACTTCTCCGGCTGGGTGGCCAGAGAGCCGGCAAGGACCGGCGGCGTGGTGGCACCATGCCTGCTGGCAGGGGCATCCCCTTCACGTGCCTCCACGGCTCCTTGCTAGCCCTTGGTGTTCTCCCAGCCCTGTTCGGCTGTGGGAAGTCGTGGCTCCCGCGAGGAGGACGGGAGCAGCCTGAGAAGTGTCTCTTTGCTGGTGCCAAAGCCCCGTCCTGTCCCCTGCCCGGGGCAGATGAGATCTGAGCCTCGCTGCTGGCAGATCAGGAGGGGAAGGGCTGTGTGTGTGGGGTGGGATGGGGCAAGCCGCTGGGGATGCCGGCGGGCTCTTGCTCTCCAGAAAGGCAGAGAAAGGAGCGGGGAGAAGAGGCGCCCAGGTTCCTGGGGAGGTGGCGGTGGCAGGGGACACCCCCAGACCGGGTGGCGGCGGGCGCGGTGCCCCCCACCTTCCCCCAGCCTGACCGCCGGGAGCTGCCCGTGTCCGTGCTGGGAACACGCCACTTACGTTCACACACAACGTCCTTTATACACCTAGGGTAGCTAAAAGTGCTGCGTTCACATCCCCGAGGAGGCAAGGGCGGGCTGGAGGAGTCCCGGCGGGCGGCTCGGCTCTGTCCGGCTGTCCCCGCCGGCTCTGGCGGTGTCCCGAGGCGCTGGGCCGCAGCCCTGTCATGTCGCCCAGGAGATCGCGGCGCTGTGCTCCTTCGCCTTCATCCGCAGGGCAGCGATGCTGGAGGTCTTGCGGTCCGGCTCGCTGTTCAGCTCGTAGCCATTGAGGCCGGGGCCGATGCCGGCCGTGCCGAAGAGGCCTCCCACGTGCGTCTGGCCCACGTGGCCGCCGGCGCCGGAGACGCCGAGGAAGTCGGAGACGCCGCCGGCCGCGTGGGGATGAGCGTGGGGGGACATGCAGGAGGGCACCGGCTCGCAGGGGACGACGCAGGCGGGCACGGGGGAGGCGGCGCCGTTGTTGCCGATCCAGGAGGGGTTCTGGATCTGCGGGGAGGGGAGGAAAGGAGCGTCAGGGCTTGGGGACAGAGCGCCGCGTGTGCCCCGGGTGAGCGAAGCATGGCTTGGAGCAGAAACAGCGATGGGCAGACGGGCAGAGGGAGCGGGGCAGGGCACGCACTCACCTGGGCGTAGTTCTCAGCGCGGGTGAGCAGGGGCAGCTCGTAGGCGGTGGAGAAGTGGGTCCGGACCTGCTGCATCTGGCCGAACCGCTCCCGCTTGCGCCATTTCGCTCGCCGGTTCTGGAACCACACCTGGGGGCAAGAGGGGGACACGGGGCTGTGAGCAAGGGGACACCTGGAGCTTCCCTGGCAGGGCTGGGACTGTCCTGTGCTCCAGGCTGGGAGCACCCAGGCAAAATTTGGAGCCCAGCTTTGGACACCAGGGCCTGGCTGGGGCCACCAATGGCTCCTGCGTCCCGCTGCCTGCTTTTCCCCACTTCTGGCTGCTGCCAGCAGTGCTCACGGTGCCAGCCAGCTCCAGACAAGAAGTGCAAATTCATCTGGGAGTGCTGGTGCCAGACTGGAACCGACAGCACTGGGGCTTTCCCCAGGCTCAGCCCTGGCTGTGACGATGCCGTCGGCTGAGAACTTGTATTTCCCACTGAGCTCTCCATCTTGCTTTTCTTAATTTTTAAAATGTTATTATTATTATTATTTTTAAAGGTGCAGCATCCCTTCTCTTCTTGGCGCTGGGAAATGACAAGTGCACTTCTACAGCGTTTCACGTGCCCTGCTTTGCACCTAATTTGCTTTGTGGGGTTTGTAGCTCTCCGCTTCGCAGTGCTGCTCAGATGCCTTCGAGGCAGCAGAAAGACCAAAACGCTGTTTCTGCTCTTATTTTTACTGGCTTGACATCAGTGTGGATTATTGCACTGTTGTCAGCAGCATTGCTCCTGATTTGCATCAGCATAAGAGAGATCAGAGCCTGGCCCAGTGTCTTCAAAGCCTCTTGAAGCCTGTGAGTCAGGGAAACACATCAATCACGCGCTGCTTTGAAGGCACTGAGCGATGCGTGCGATCACCAGGGGCTGGGTTGTGCAGGTCACGCCAGCGCATGAAAGGAGCGGTCCGGGAGCTTCTGCTTCGAGTTTTGCACGGTGACCGGGGGGCGGAGGGGGGCCCTGCGAGCCGCAGCTCAGCGTGGTGATGCCAGTGCTCAGCCAGGGCTTCACGGGCTGCTGCAGAAACGGGAGCCCCTTTTGGGATGCCCCTGTCCTCAGAGGGCAGTGGGGCAAGCCAGAAACTTGTCTGGGAAGAAATCAGTGCAAGGATTAGTGCTACATGAGGCTTTCTTATGGCACAACTTCCATCCTACGAGGATTTCCAGAGGGTGCAGTGAAACCAGCAGAAGGCTCCCAGCATCATCCCACGCCGCACATGAGAAGCGTCCGACTGCAGCAGGCCGGGTGCCCCAGGCGTCCGTCTGCTTTTCTTCTCCCTCCTCTTGGCACGGCCACTCCAGCCCAGCTGCAGGCCAGTCCCAGGGCTGGCCGGGCTCACGCCGCTTTGATCTGCAGATTCAAAGCCCGCGGTGCTGACCCGGCTCCGCGCGGGGCGGCGGAGGCCCCGCTGTGCTCAGAGGGGCGCGGAGCAGGTAGGGAGCTGCCGGGCACCGTGCCGGGGCACACATATGCCGGGCACATGCCGGCATCCCTGCCTGGCGAGCTGCTCACCTGCACTGCCCTGCATCCCCCCAGCCCCTGCCTTTTTGCTTTGGGTGTTGTGGTGGCAGAGCAAAGTGGCCTAAGCTGGCAGGCCCAAGCATCTTCAGTGGAGGTGCTGGTGGCTGTGGCACTGAGAGGTGGTGCTTCGAGGGAAACTGCGAGCAGGGCAGTGGGTGATGCACAGACATCCACCGAGACCCAGAGATGTGTTCCTGGCTCCCTCGCTCTCAGAAGACACCTGTTTGTTTTTTTTTAAAGGACATCTGAAGGAGCAACAAGCGTGCATTTTCTGTTACCTTCAGCCGAGGTGCCACCTGTGTGGGACGTGCCCATTGGGGTTGTGGCACGTGGGGCAGCCAGGCAGGGGGTCTCATTTTGGGGACCGTGGGCTTTCCCCCCACTGAGGATTAGGGCAGCAGCGCAGGCGAATGGCGTGGATCTGACTCCTGCAGACAGGGCTTTGATAAGCGCCGATGTACCAAATCGGCCCTATAAAAACCTACAGAACTGAGAATGTTTCATGTCTCCATAAACAGGCGGCCATATGCTGGTGCCTACATCCATATGCACGCGCCTCCGACATGCCGCGGGGGGCGGCGGGGCTGGGGAGGGTGCGAAACATATTGCACAGCTCCTGCCCCCTGTCCCCCTGCTGTCCCCCACCACCCCTGGCCATCGCTGGGGACCACTCAGGGGCTGCACCATCGCTTCGGTCCTTCCCCAGCATGAAAGCAATCTCCTCTCCCTCCTGGCTGCTCGCCCCCTTGCAGAGCCATCTCTCCCCATCCCTGCTTCCTCCTCCCTCCGCTGGGTCTGTCTGTCTGTCTGTCTGCCTGCCTCCAGGACCGTCCCCCTGCTGACGGCCAGGCCGTCTCCCCTCTTCCTGGAGATGGCCACCAGCCCTTTGCAAGAACAGAGCCAGAATTCATCCTTGAGCACTGAAACTGGACACCATTTTATCAGTGGCCTGGAATGGGAAATTGGAGCCTGGGATGAGAGAATTGAATAACTTGAGCTTGTTTTCATTTCATGTTTAATTTCCTGCAGGCTTAGCTCAGTCTTTCCGCTCCTTCCACCAGCCTCCCAGGGTTTTATGGGGGAAAAGGGATCAAGATATATTACTTCTTGCTTTGCTTTGCTTTTTTTTTTTCTTTTCTTTTTTTCTTTTTTCTTTTTTTTTTTTCCAAGGCGGTGATTTCACTACAGCCAAGTTTGACATTTCCCTCTCGCTTTCAAGCCCCCGCCGCATCACAGGGGCACCGCTGACAAGATTTCATTAAGAGACCCAGCAATCATAAGGCCGGCTCTGAAGGGGGCTGGATGAGGGGTCGTGTTCCCTGGCTGTGAAGCCTCATGCCATGCCTTGCCATGCCATGCCATGCCATGCCATGCCATGCCATGCCATGCCATCCCATCCCATCCCATCCCTCCCCTGCCCAGGGCTCTGAAGCTGATGCTGCTGGTGAGGGATGGTGCTGCCTGGACACAGAAGGAAGCCCATAAGGCTTCCTCATGCCTTTCCTCTTCTTTTGCCAGCCTCAGCCATCCTTATCTCCCTGCCCTGCCTTAACCACCACCAAAAAAAGCTGTGGCAGCCCTGGCTGGGCTCGAGAAGCTCAGGCTGCCAAGCAGGAGCCCTTACTGGGTCTCTGCAGCCCAAAACATTGAAGAGGAGGAGAAAGGCACAGGATAAGTGCACTGTGCGGGAGCTACACGAAAGCAATGCCCACTGCACACCTCTGCAGGTTGGTTTCAGCGTCCTAGCAGCAGCATGCATAGCAGGGGTCTCTCCTGGGGGTGGAGGGGGCAGGCAGGATGCCACCACCCCATTCACACGTGGCATGGCCATGCTGTGCCTGGTGCTGGCACACACACTGCTCCGGGCATCGCCAGCTGCTATTTCACCACTTCTGTTGGATAAACCCAGAGCTGCCACTTCCCTGCCTGGGCTCTGTGCCCGATCTTGCCTGTAACTCCTGGGGGAAACCAGGCTGGCCGGGGAGGACAGCCTGCTCTGGCTCAGCTTGGTCCTTACAATAGGAGTTGGTATCCTGTGCTGTCGCCCCATGCCCTCCAACACTTGTGACGTGTCCCCAGAAAATGCAGGGCTGTGCCCAGCAGCCGAAATAAATAGCTGACTGCATCCCCGTTACCTGCACTCGAGCCTCGGTGAGGTCTGTCCTCATGGCTAGCTGCTCCCTGGCGTAGACGTCCGGGTAGTGGGTCTTCTGGAAGACCTTCTCCAGCTCCTCCAGCTGGTAGCTGGTGAAGGTGGTGCGGTTCCTCCGCTTTTTGCCCTTGTTGCTCTCCGAGTCCGCCTTGTCCATGGGGCTGGGGAGGTCCGTGCTGGCCCTGTCCTGGGGGACTTTCACCCCGGCCTCCTTCACGCTGAGGTAGCTGCTGTCCATGCCCGAAGGGTCGGCGCTTGGCTGCAAGTCGGCCTCTCCCAGGCCGCTCTCTTTACCTGTTTGGGGAAAGGAGAGAGAAAAGGAGATGGGCATAAATCTTATGGTCAGTTCTTTGGTTCAACCAGGAGCTTCTACAGCTCAACAGGCCTTTAAGAGAGACACCAAGGTGGTGACAGTCAGGAGGAACAGGAAAAACAGGAACCTTTTTTTTTTTTCTTTTACATTTATTTCACGTTAGTCTATTTTCAAATGCTCTAAGTCCAGGATCAGCCTTTCTAAGAAACAGCCCCACCATCTAATGATAGCCCGACAGGGAGCTTTCCCTTGGGAGTCTTCTGCGCTGTCATCTCCAAGGTCATTCATGCTAACCCGGACATCTTTGCCAATATCTTTGGAAATCACCGTTTTTTCCAGCACTCATCCCCAGTTATGACATTGGGGATAAATCATTCATTATTTACATGTAGTTTTGCTGAACAGCTCTGTCACAGCTTTGTGAAGGAGTGGATCTGAGAGGAGGGCTGCGTGCCCGTGCCCTCGCAGCTGAAAGGCTGCGTCGAGGCAATTTGACAGAAAGGGGAAGGATGAAACGTGGCCGTCACTCAGGCACAAGGGCAGGGAGGCACAAAGTTAAACATGGGAGGATAAGAATTGAAGGATTTGAGAAAGAAATTGCCAAGTTAGAGCAGAGGAGTCCCGGCCAGGGCTTGGACTGGCACTAGAAATGAGGAGGAAGATATTTGCCACTACCACACCACTGTGTTTTCAGAAGGACTTGTGTTTTCTAACTCTGGTCTCTCAGACTTTTGAAGAGCTCAAGCAAGCCTTATCCCATCTATTTCAACTCTCTGCATTGGTCCCTAAGAGGATTTGTCACAATTTATGCACCCTGGGCACTGGGACCTGAGTAAGTCACCTGCTACGGCAATGAAATTTATTATTTTCCACGGCAATCATAAGACAATCATAAGACAGCTCTAGAAAGTCTGTAGCAACTGCCTATGAGAGACAGCAGAGATGGAGTAATGAAGTATTCCATGAAATGTTCAAGGGAGAAGGGAAGGGAAGGGAAGGGAAGGGAAGGGAAGGGAAGGGAAGGGGAGGCGGGAAGGGAAGGGAAGGGAAGGAAGGGAAGGAAGGGAAGGGAAGGGAAGGGAAGGAAGTGAAGGAAGGTGAGGGAGGGAAGGGAAGGGACGGGAAGGAAGGAAGGGAGGAAGGGAAGGAAGGGAAGGTTGACGGGAAGAGAAGGGAGAAGGGACGGGAGGGAGCGAAGGGAATGGAAGGGAAGGGACGGGAATGACGGTGAAGTGACAGGTGAAGTAAGGGGAAAGGGATTGTGGAAGGGGGGGAAGGTTTTTTCCTTTTTTCCTTTCCTTTTCCCTTCCCTTTTCCCTTACCTTTCCTTCCCTTCCCTTACCTGCCACTTCACCTTCCTTCCCCTCCCTTCCCTTCCCTTCCCTTCCCCTTCCCTTCCCTCTCCCTTTCCCTTTCCCTTTCCCACCCAGCCTCCTACCACACCATGAGCTCTGTGTGTAGAAAATCACAGGAAGAAAATCATCTCAAAAAAGGTGAAAAAAAACCAACACGGGTCCACAGAAGGCCCCTGGGAGATCCTGCCCAAATTCCAGCCAGACTCAGCAGGCAGCAGGGCAGCACCTCATCCTTGAGGTGGTCATGGCAGAGCTGCAGATCACCCTCCACATGTACCTGTGCGCACAGCAAAGCTCTGGGCCTGCTCTGCTCTGCACTGGGATGAAGGAGGAGGCCACGAGCATGGATGGTGGCACAGGGCGGGGATGGCGTGCATCCACCCTGGGCTGAGCGTCCCGAGGAGTAAGGCTCATTCCCCAGGAACGGGATCCCTGACCTCCAAACAGGCATGCTAAACGCTGAAGTGAAACAAATTGCATACATCTGCATATGGATATGCCCAGACTTCCTGTAACTGGAGATGGCCTCAAAGTTTCAATGCAAAGTTTGGGGTGTCTGTTTCCAATCAAACCTGGAGAGACCTTGAGTTACATGTTGTGAAGAGCTCCATGACAAGGAGGTAATGTGAGCATCGTTACACCCTTACGAGCCCGACCGGGCTGCTTGGTGCCTCCTTCGCTGCTGACGGCCGCTTCCCTCTCCCTCGTGGCGGTGGAAGGAGGACATTTGCTGGCTGCTCACCTCCGCTGGCACTGCTGAGCCCTTCCCGAGTCACCCCACAGCAGGTGCCAAAGGGCAGGGATATCGTGGGGCAGCTGGGCACGTGGGTCCCCAGCATGGGGCTGCTCTGCCACGGCTCCTTTTTGGATCCTTGCAAGAGGGGAAATGCCTTTCTGGTGCCACCACGTCTGTGCTGGGAACCACAGGGAGGACAGCTGAGAAACCCAGGCCGTGCTGATCACTTGGGTGCTGTGGTGGCCAGGTGCCCGCCGAGGTGGCTGGGCAGCACCCCGCTGTCCTGCAGGGACTGGGCTTTCAACCACATCATCACCACGTTTGGACTCAGCGTGTATCTAAAGGGTGCTGTCTTGGGAGGGTGAGGATGTTAAACCCTTCTCTGTGTACGGTCCTATCCGTGAAATTTAATGTAGAGTGAATTCATCTTGGCGCATCCACACGGCAGGGGAGGGTGGGACGTTTCGAGTACACAAAGCAGCATCAGGCTCAGCTTGGCACAACATCTCCTTTGCACAACACATACCGTGACTCCTGCAAGCCGAGGCCGACCCCGTGCCGGCAGCCCCGTGCTCTGCGAGGATGCACGAGAGCTGCGTGGCCAGCACAAGACCCACAGGCACAGGGCTGCTTCCCACCTTGGCAGCCTCTTTTTCCATGCCTAAATACCAGCGCTGAAGCTTTCCCTAGGTATGGCTTGGCCAGCACTCGCTGCAGCTCTTACCAAGGAGGACTTGCAGCACCCGTCCTGCCAGCACACCTCCAGGACCTGGCCAGCCGCGGTAACCCTACCCAGCCCTTGGATCGTGCTTGAACACATGCTGAAGCTATTATGCTTTTCCCCCGAGTTGTCTGTTGCAGCCTTCTGCCTCCTGTCTGTCATTGCAGTCTAGCAGGCAGCACAGGGCCATCATTTGAAAAAATAAAAAAATTAAAAAAAATCCACATTTTGGGTTACATAGGATAAAAAGGAGCGGCTGGATTTTAGACATAAGGAGGAATTAATCTTTAGGTTTATTCCCACTCAGGGACCGAGCACTCTTGTGGTCTGCAGATAGAAAGAAGAGTTAAAGATGGAGAGAAGACCCAGGACTTTGTGGCTGACTCTGGCATTGCTGATTTTATTAGCAATGATCAGATAATTAATCAAACCTTCTCGCTTGGGCCCAGGCGTAACACTGAGCATCATTCATCTCTTCAATGCAAGAGGTATAAGGCTATGTAAGAAACCATTGTTCTGGCAGCTGCAGCCAGCCTTGCTGCTCAGTGGAAACTGCTTGGAGCATCTCCATTTCCCCTCTGGATGAGGATGAACACAGATCCTTGTGACCAGCCTGCCCGCAGTTCCCTCGAGCTTGCCCGAAACAGAGGTGATCCCTGTGTGCGAGTCCATTTATCCCTGCCGAGGAGCTCATTTGGTTGATCCTGCAGAACCTGACGGGAGGCTGGAACGTACTCTGGCAGCCCTTCTGCTGGTGGCACGGCACGCACTGGCTCCCCTTGTGTCCAGGAGACCACTGGGTGAACACAGACGTGTGCATGGCCACCATCCATCTCCGCTCACCCGAACAAAGCTGCTGGAGCTGCTGCTCTGCTGCGGCTCCACAGCCCGCGTGCATCATGACATGCTGCAGGAGGATAAAACCCCCAGATCCAAAAGCTGTGAAATGCCTGGCGACCTCGGGGACGTAGGGACAGAAACAGCAAATTGCCACAGAAAAGGTGACTTGTAGAAGGAAGGGTGGGAGAGAAGGCCACCTCCTACTGCGATGCTCCTGACCGCAGAGCAGGAGCAATGCTAAAGCAGAAAGGCTTCTAACCCACCTCCTATTCCTGAAAGGCAGTTTTGGGACAGTGTCGAAGGCGCCACACAGCTCGGATGGGTCTGCATCCTCCTGGTGGCCATGCAGCCAGCATGTGACTTCAGCCCCAGGCTCTGTCTGCACCCTGCGTGCCTCAGGGATGCTTCCCCGGGAGACAAAACTGCCTCAGCCCTGGCTGGCTGCCTGCCTGATGCTGTGTAAATCACTGCGAGGACTTGGGGACAGACAGCCTGATAAACATCAGCCCTGACGCTGCTGAGGAGTTTACATCCCGCCAGTCCTTGGGAACACTTGTGTGTGTGTTATTTGTTTGTGGAAGTTGCTGTTCCTTTCGCTTTTTTTTTTTTTTTTTTTTTTTTTTTTTTTCTTTTTTTTTTTTCCCCCTACAAACATCTGCTTTTGAGGGCGTGCATTGCTTTATTCTCTGATTAGCTGAATTCACACAGCCTGTGGCTACTTGGGGAGAGCTCAGCATCAACTACAAATGCACCGTGCGCTGCTCGCTCCCCTTTCATGCTATTTAAAGGACGCTAACAAAACTGGCTTTTATATAAACAAATCAGTTCTGCAGGCTCTGAATGGAAGCTGTGGCGAGAGCAAAAAGGCACAGTTTATGCCTCAAATCCTCCTTCATGTGGCACGTTCATCTGAACACCAGGAAAGAGCTGACCAGCAAATTCTGAAGGCACAAAAACGCCTCTGCCGTAACTGCAGCTCACCTCCTGGCTGCCAGAAGACAGCACAGAAAAAGAGCAAGAACAGAAAATGATGGACCCATGAATTTCACAGTGACCTGGCTCTCTCCTCTCTGACACCTGACGGTCCTCAGCAGCTGCAGTGGTAACGCGGTGCTCTGGGGATGTGCTCTGCCACGCACACAGGATGTTTTTTCAAGAGGTGACAGTCACCCCCGTGTGGCTCGGTGGAAGCCAGACCCCAGTGGGTCCCACAGAGTTAGCTCCACGCTTTGGATGCTGATGGTCTTCATTGTATCAGCCCACGTGCAAAGTCCTGCTTGAAGGTCTCACAGCCAAAGTGGGTCAGCTATTGCATTTTGAAGCATATTT